GAAGAAAGAGCAGTCGAGGAGCACGTATTTTATGCGTGCAGTTATCGGCTCTTTCACTTATGAGAGAACGTTCCCTCGCAATATATATAAGATATGCTTCATAAAAAATAAGAATTGCGGTGAAAAAAAATTTATTTGAGTAAATTTTTTTCGTAAAATTTAATCCGCTTAATTGTGATGTGATATTTTTTCGACGGGATTCAAATCAAGCTTTATAAAACGCCAATGGAAACTTGTTTAGCAATATAAAATCAAAATGCGATTTAATTAACATTTATATACGGAGATAATTTTCTGTTAGAATTTATCCTGAAAATCATATAGTAATCGTGGGACTGTGTATAAAAATAATTAATTGAATTTTTTGAACGATTGAAAGAAATTCTATTGTGTTACTATTATAATAATATTTTTTTAGAAGTTTTTTAAGATTAAAACAACTTCAAGTTTTCTGAGCCTATAGTTTTCTCACGGGAGATGCATTCTCCGAGAAATATGTATACACGAGTTCTCATTTTACACGCCAGCGTTGTGTTTTACTTTCTGTAGGCTCGCTCTGAAAAGGGCTGGCGCCGCGACACTCTTGAACAGAATTGAGTCCTCGATCTCTTAACGGCCCTCGAGTCGTCGGAAGCCCGTGTCTTTCCACGAGTCGTCGATGTTGTCCCTTTACTATCCTCCCCGCTTCCGCACGCATCCTCGTCTCTTTCTCTCTTTCCGTCTCTCCCAACCAAAGTACTCGGTGTCTTTGCCCGACATCGTCTCCTCGTTATCGCTGCCACGAACGGCAATTTCGTCGTTATTATTAGGCCTGCTCGAGGCTGAACGGGGGTGGTCGTGGAAAGGAACCGTGTGTTTACCCTCTCCAGAAACCACTCCAGAACAGCCGAGAAGCTCGTGCCATCAGAGTTCGGAGTTTGTAACTCCGCTTGACTAGTTTCTGACGAGCGGTCCTTTTTGGAGGAGAGGTCCTTTTTAATGCGCGTAGATAAATTAAAAGGACATGGAGAGAATTTTCTCTTAGGATTTATCGTAAAAATCATGGTAATAATCGTGGAACAATATGTTGCAAGAATTTTATATGAGTTCCTCTCTGATTAATATTGACCTATTTACCACAATAAAAATATTAATATATGTATATGTACATTTTATATCTTATTGTGGTAGATATTAATATTTTTTATTGCGGTAAATATTAATCAGAGAAATTCTTACAAAATTTTTCCAATACCATATTGTCCCATGATTTTCAGGATAAATTTTACGAGAAAATACTCTCTGTGAACGATTGTAAAAACAGTGTCTCTTTATATTAACATACAGAACTTAATTTCAATAGTGAATTATTTTTTAATCGCGACGAATAATCGTGCCTAATTTTTTCTCAACATTCATACCATACGGGATCGAAATCCTTTCGCTTTATATCGATTTATTAATCGATTTTTGCTTGAGTCTACTCAAATTCAGGGACATAAAGCTAATACAGAGTCTTAATTTACATTTGACATATTTTATGTATGCGCTTCGAGATAACACACGTGGGCTAAATAATACATCAGAGACCCTAACGCATCGCGTAATACGCTGATTACTTGGCCTCCTGGCCACGGCGCGGCTCGTATACGCGCAGAGACCCGCGATAGAATCAGTCTCACCGGTGTACTCAGAATCGCCACCGAAGGCGAACCCGATCGTTCCGCGTGGGTGGCCTTCCACCTCCTTCTTCCGACGCCGATGCCCTTCCACCAGCATGCGGGCTGTATGGTGGCCGTGGTGTACGGTGGTGTGTTCGCGCAGGCCTCTCTTCTCCTCGGATGATGAATGACCCTCGTGTACCCCCTTCTCTTATGGTTCGCACCCTGTCGCGGCCCTACCGTCCGCCCTCTCCTCCCCTCTTTTCACTCCACTCCACCTTGATATTTCCTTCCCCTCCTGCGTATTTCCCCAGTCGTCTCTTCCTCTCTCTCCGCCTCGTCATCGAGCAGCCTCGGCGGGTTTCGCCCGCTTCCTCTCTGTCCTTCCGCCAGCTCGCGCTCGTTTTATTTCTCGTTTATTTTTCCCACCCGCGAACCGTCGAGATGCAATTTGCATCCGAGCTGCTGCTGTTGCCGCCGTCCCAGCCGGTTGCCGCGAGCAACAATCGGCGTAGAAGCTTGCGCGAGACTCGCCAGGGAAAATTATTGTCAGCGCGGAAGGAAAGCATTTTTTTTTATTAATTTCGATCTAGACTGCAAACACAATTGATACGAATTAATATTTTCATTATGCATAGTAATACCAACAACATTCACTACGCATTCTACCGATAAATTACTACGATTGTGAATTCGTTATAGCAACTTAAAGCGATACATATTTATTATCGATGCATTAACAATAAGTTAATTTATTCCTATCGCGATAGGTATCCGAAGGTTACAATATAGTAATGTCATTCGGATTACATTCACGCGGGTTTCACGCTTGACGGAACTCGTAAACGCGAATGATCGCCCCACGAAAGCATCATTCCGAATCCACACTGTGGCCACACAGGGTCATAATACCCGTTTAACAGCGCGCTTTAAGTAGACCCACACAGATCTTGGACCATGCAACACACAGTTAAGTGGATACAGTCGTAGTCCGTTAAATGGCAAACTCTACAGCGAGTGACGACTGTGAAAGGCAACGGTGACACGTCCCCGGTAGCCGTCTTAAAAAACACCGAGGAGGGTAAGTCGCTCCGAGACGAGAGAGACAGAGGAGAGAAGAAGAAAGGGGCGGCATCGCGGAGGAATTGTTCCGGGGAACCAGCTCTCGTTCCTGCGGTTCACGTGCGAGACGACTTGACGACTTGCGCGCGAGCTAGCTCCTCTTTCCAGCTACCTGAAGGCGAGATCCCCGAGAGATGAAAGAGGAGAGGCCGTGTCCGGGCTTCATATTTTATGTTTTAGGGGGTCCTTTATGCGCTCGACTACGGGAGCACCCAGCGTGTCGAATAGAATTCGGAAGGCCGGGTTACATACGATAGATATTTTGACATGCCCGAGAAATTAGTATAATAAAGGGGGGCTAGGTAAAAGAGCGTCCCTATATAAGTGAGTGCCTAAACACACGCCGTAAATCTACCCTCTCCCCTATTTATATTCGCTGGTACTCTTGCCAGAGACATCCATCGGCGTTGCCCGTCAGGTCACCGGAATCGAAATTGCCTCGTCGAGATCCACTTCCGTTTGATCGATCGAGAGAGATCCGTCTCTTTCTCTCGGACACTGCATGTGATGCTTCTAACGGTTCCCTCCGTTTTCTTCGAAACGTTTATTCCTTCGGTGTATGGTTTTACTACCGTTTGCCCCGTATAACCGTCTATCCGCCTTTCCGCTCTTCCGTTCACCACATCGCATCTCGTGTCGTTCGCTTTTGACGATAATGCTCGCGGAATTCGATCGCGTTTTACCGTTCTTCGTTTTACCGCGGCGAATATCCGCGATACGTGTTCCGAGTGAAAATTCCTGGCTATGCGAGATGTACATGCGGCATGAACTTCTGGAATGCCGATGAGACGCTGCGGAATGTTGACAATGTACTTGGTAACATGGTTATCAATCTTTCGTATTTTAAAGATATCAACTGCACTGAAAAAAAAATTTGTTAACTTGCTAAACCTTTCGATTAAATGTTATCTTGTTAATTGAACGTGTAAGAATATTTAATTTAAATATAGCATATTATAATAAAATATTTAAATTAAACATAGCATATTCAATTAACAAAATATAGTAAGTTGAAAAGTTTAGTCGTGTTAACAAATATTTAAGAAAAAAATGAGAAAAATATATCTACTTTTTGGAAATCTATCGGAAATCTCTAAACTGTACACACCTATATCTATTTTCGTGGAGAGAACAGGCATAATTTCGTCTTTGCATATAATTCGATGAACAATATATCGCTCGTAGAAATTTATTATAAGTGACAAGTATAACCACTTGCGGTATATGTTGAAGAAAAGACTGGTTAAATAGAAGAGTGAGTAGGTTAAACATTGTAGAAGCAAAGAGACAAGTCATAACTTCTAGAAGATGGAAATCGCGATGAGGGGACTATCAATCATGTCGCAAGTGATGGAAAGATTGGCATAATCCTGGTGTAACGACGGAACACGTGAGTCAGCGCGACAAACGGAAATTCTATACGGAAGAGAGATACGTGCACATATATAGTCCGCAGCTTTAAGATACGATCTTTTTTTCACGCGTAAATTGCAGTGCATAACTATATAAACGGATTATACGCTGTCGACGATTTTGTTACCTTGTAAGAGTCGTTGATAGCGGATTCTCATGATTATTCCCGGCACAAGTGACCCTAGTCCATCTCTTCGGTTTTTCAAACTGCTCACGAAAGCTTTTAGCCAGGTATTACGTGCCGGTGCATCTCACCATATCGTCGAGGCGTGTCTTAAATAAATTCTCCACGCGCCGCTTTCTCTCCGGGAGAATCAGCGTAAAGTACAAAATATCTCATCTTTGTCAAAATGTTATCTCACGCGAATCAATTTACGTTCGGTCAAAATAACGTTGAAGCGCTTGTTAAACTTGACAACAATATCCTTGATTACGCAATCGTTAACTTTAATCTTTTCCTTACATCAAATAAATTATTTGACTAGACACATTATTTATATACACATCAGGAGACAAGAGGGCATTAATTTGCCCCCTTGGAATCAGTATACAAAAATTAAGCATTTGTTGCAATTTTATTTAATATAAAAATATTGAAACAACAAAACAAAATAATCAAAAAGTTGAATGTAAAAATTAAGAAAGAACAATAATAAGAGCCAACAAAAATGTCAATCATACCCTTCCTTGGAGAAAATCTTGCGGACGCCCATGTATACTTGATGGTGTCTCAGCTCTTATATATACATATATACGTATATAATAGAAGGAGGAGTATTATCTCTTCGTTAATCAATAGATAATGAATCATCATATGTGATTCAGCTTGTTGCAGTACTCCGTTCCTACGCCACTGCGAGGGTACATACGTGGATACGGTACGAGAACGCCGGCCATCCGGCGCGGCGCGAGAGGTCGATCGATCTCTCTTTCGTCGTTGCTTGGCCACCGTGTCGCTGCCACGCCACTCCGCGATACCCACATCGCCGTCGAGAGATAGACTCCATGGTGGGGACCGACAGTGTCAGTTTACGATGGTGGTGCACCGGCGACGGATGTGGCTGGTTCTCCGGGGTGTGGCGTGCGAAGTGAGAGCCCTTTCCGCACGCGCCGCCTTCGCCGCATGAATATGTGCGCTCACGCACCGGCTCCGTCCAGGTCACGTGACCCGCCTCGGCGGGGGCACCAAGAGAGGACAGAGGCCTGGAGGATAGAGGCTCCGTTCGAGCGTACGCCAAAAGGCCCCGCCTAAACAGCCGGTCGATACTGCGCGCGCAAAGAACGGCCGGCTTATTGTAAGGCTGCATCACGCTGCGCGTGATACCACAGCTGCGCCCTGCGTGGCTACAGAGTGGTGGGGTAGTCGGTGCGCGTGGGAGGAAGAACGACGGTCCAGTGGAGTCCGGGAAGTCGAGCAGCGCAGACGCGTTGTATCGCTGCGCCGTTTCTTCGTCAATCAAATAGCAGTAATAATAATTCGGAGCAACGAGAGACGATATTATCGAAACGACGTGGTGACGTGATCGTGAAATTGTCGGGCAAGTCTAGGCGATAATCGGAGCTCGTGTAATTCATTAGTATACGTTCGGTGGGAGGTGGAGAACGCCTCCTCTCTCGTTGCCGCAGATCATCATGTTGACACGAACGAACGCCTGATGACAGAAAGAGGGCGAAGTGGTGAAGAGAGGACAAGAAGGGACTAGAGTGTCGACGCGGAAAGTCTGATATGCCTTGTCGCGAGTGAGGGTGTTGATTTTACTCGACTTTTCCAGAAAGGAGTAAAAGTGGACAATTTTTTTTCGAAAGTGACGTAAACCGCGACGGGGTCGCGGATCGGTCGGGAGTAATCAAAGACTATAAACGCGTAAGAGTAAGTGTCATCGGGCGCGCGAGGAGGGATGCCTACGAAGGGGGAGAGGGGAAAAGCGACGGACTTCAGCATCGCGGCCATCATGGCGCCCAGGGGTTCGTCCTTCGGGCATTACCACCTGCAGGGCATCAGCAACGCTGCTGCCACCGCCAACACCAACCTGGAATGTCCAACTGGCAAAGGATTCGTGGCTGATTCGACGCTGGATCATCGTGAGTACATTTGTATAAATATAAAAAGCATCTTTTTTTGAAGGGGTGTAAGACCACCCTTTTGTAATTTTTAGCATATAGGTACCGCGTAGGTCGCCTGACTCATATACCTTATCAAATATGTCTATATTATTGATGAAAATAAACAAGAGATTAAAGATACATACGAAAATTTATAGAGGATAAAAGCAATTTTTGAAAATTATTTCGGAGTAAATTGCATATATAGTATTATTCTCGCTCTCCATGTGCTATCAAATATGTCTATATTATTGATGAAAATAAACAAGAGATTAAAGATACATACGAAAATTTATAGAGGATAAAAGCAATTTTTGAAAATTATTTCGGAGTAAATTGCATATATAGTATTATTCTCTCTCTCCATGTGCTTATTGATAATAATTTTTAGATAACAAGACACAATAGCAGATTTTGGTATTCCAAAGTCCTTAAATAACATTTGATTTGATTTGGAGAGATTAAAATATGCAATGCAGGCTAAAAAAAACTGCTAATAAACTTTTAAGCTTGTTTTATTTTTTTCCACATTTTAAGATTGATTTAAAACAGTATTTGTATTCTGACATGCAAGGCAAATAGAAATAACAATAGAAATGTGAAAATAAAATCGCAAATGTAATGTAGATGCATAATTAAATGAAGCCGAGATGGAAATGTCAAACGTTTAAACAGATAAACGAGATTACGACTCGTTTCGTCTATCGCTGTCAGCAGCGATGATCATAAACAATGGGACACACTTTGCAACATTATCGTGAAACAATTTAAACACATCTTTATTGTGTCACGAGAGAGATGTCGTAATATAGTCTGCCATAGATCCTAATTTTGAAAACAAAAATCATATTTTAGAAAATTCATTAATTCTTAATTTTCTCGCAGATATTTAGGCATAACAAATTTTATTTAAAAATTTTTCTTTAATTATTTCGAACGTTTCGGTCTTTTCTTTAGATACAAATATTTTCTTTGATATATAGAATAGATATACGGTTTTAATACTGTTGTACATATTATTGAGGTCAAAATGTTGATCTATTAAGAAAGAAAGAACCCAAACGTAGGTATACAAAATAATAAAAGAAGAATTTGAAAACAAGTTTGTTGAGAACTTAATATATGCGCCTGACTCTTAACCTTTTTTAGTTCTGATTTTGTATTTGTGTATATCAGAGCTATTTCGTTTTATTATTATACTTTAATTTTCTTTCGCAACCGTCTCTTTCATAGTGAAATAGCATTTTCTCTCATCAATATTAATATATATATTATACTTACAAACTTTATTAATAATTTTGGGAAACCAAAATATCTACTGTCATATACCTTTGCTCTCGGAAATACATTATCATTAAAATCAAAGATTCGAAATCTCGAAGAGTCCGCTCTTTTTTCGAATAACAATATAACAAAGATATATGGAGGAAAATCTCGCGATCGTAGATAGAGTTTCGCTCGCATCAAAACGTTATACGTTATCGTTTATGCATCGAAGCGAATAGTTTCATGCTATAGAATATAGAAGTTTAGTTTCTCATGTTGAATCAGTTATACCGAAAGAAATTGTTTCGCGTTCGCACATATCTCAAACTTTATACAGTTTATATTTTTTTCTATAAATAATTTATTTTTGTGTAAATTATTATAGCCGCGGTTAAAAATAATTTTGTTTGAAGTGCTAATCTTATCTTGAGATCGAATCGACAAGTGCTAATAAACGCCTTGTGATAAAAAAACTAGTGCAAATTGTTTATGCAAATCTTAAAATTTATGAATTTTTTCTCAAAAATTGTCTCTTAAAAGCTTATTATATTTTTTACATTCCTCTTAATTCTAATTATTCTAATTATTATTTAATTTTTGATATTTTGAGAAACAACACGTGTGTCATATCATTATGTGTCACCACGGAAAATTCAATTTACTGAATCAAATTATCTCGCGGTTGTTAGCGCCGCAATAAAAGCCTGTTCGGGTTGCAAAAGGTTAAATTATGAGTTCATCTTAAGGGTAACTCGGTTTACGACTTAACGAGCTTATTTAGAGTTTGTTGCCGTAGAGTGCTTCCTCGGTCAGTCCAGATTACGACGCGCTTTTCTATCCGACGGCTTGTGGTTCGTCTAAACGAACTAGCATTACGCTTTCGCATCTGTTAACTTCAACATTTTAGCTATTAACCTAAATATTGAAATATTACTGCTGTAATAGTAATAGTTGAACCAGTGAAATGAGCAAATATATTCTCTAATTGTGTTTATTTCCGAGGATATATCCGTATTAACATTTTTTAAATGCAATTGACATATAACTTTTACGCTGATAATTTTACAAATCAAACGAATATTATTAGAAGCGTCAACTTTTATATTTAAATTTTTGATATTTTGAAAAAAAGTTTGAAAATAAAAATATAAAGAAAAATATAAAATTTATTTAATAGAAGACTTCGAATTTTCTTATAAGAGCATTCATTAATTCATAATAGTTTAAAATGCAAAATAAAAATAATCTTTCTTTATGTTTACATAGTTCCTTATTTTAAAGCTTTTCTCTCTTTACGTCTTATCTAAATTACAACGCTAAATTAACTCTAGTGCAATTTTCGCGAGGCGTAGAGATCTTGTCGAGCCTCGCTACTGTAACAATGAAACTCTCACCCTTCGTTAGAGCCCAATTTTAGCCCGGTATACCGGTACATTGGTCTAGGACGTGAGTGCTGATCGCGTGCTGTCCCGTTAATTAGGAATATACGATTCATTAGGCGAGCGTGTCGGAAAAAAATGCGTCGTCTGGCAAGTCGAGCGATAATTAGCGTCCGAAATAGCAATTCGTGCTCATGAAGCGGGAACGCCGCGCCGGACCGCTGCTGCGACCGGCAGCAAGTCGCTGCCAACAAATTGCACGTAAATTTTACCTGTTCGCACCAGAATTAACGAGCGTGCGTTAGACGCTCGCTAAGCAGATGGTGATCTAGAGAGATCAAATTCTCAAGTCTTCGTCGCGAATCTGCAAATTTATGGCGCTTTTCCGTGACGAAAAAGCTCGATGCAAATTGGATATGAGACTCATAGCCAAGAAATGTGCATTTACAGAACCATAAAATTATGTAAGCATCGTTTTATTTTTTTTCCTAGCGTAAAAGATGGTAAGATTTAATGGAAGTTTTATCTGCTAACAATTTGAATTGGAGAAGAATTTTGAGTTAAAAAATGGGATTATTTTTTCTTATATGTATATATGTTTCTTATATATATAATTTTAATTAAAAAATAAATTATAAAAATAATAGGCAAAAGAAAAGAGAAAAAAGCCAGAAGATATTTTAAACTTAGATTATTATAAATATTATAAGCTCTCTTCTTTTTGCATACAAAAATTAAGATAGAAAGATTAAATAATGTAATTTAAAGAGCTAATCAATCTTTTATGCATTGCTGCTCCATTTCTGAAGTTACTAGATGAAGTCAAAAAGTAAAAAAAGTGAAAAAGTCATATGTCATACATTGTAAAGATATATGCAGTTAAAGTTTCGTTTCCTCGTGCGTTATAAAATTTCAGAATCTTAATTAAAAGTAATGCATTAGAAAAATTCACGATATGAAAATCGCTGTTGGTGAAAATTACATATTTAATTATAAAAAGTCACCTATTGCAACATGTGGAAAATAATCGGTCGCCGATCGGAAGACGCGCGCACGCACGAATATGGAAATTGCCGACAGACGTAGCATGTGCTATCCGCCATTCCGAGACTGTCGTCGCACACATATATTTTTCACCGTAGCTATCAGCATTGCAAAATTATCGCGTGTGTATTTTCATCATGGTCGTATAGTAACGTGTATAATGATCAATGTGTGCGATGTAATTATAAAACTGCGCGCGATAAGGCAATTACAAAATTGCGAGATAACACATGTGTTAATATATTCGAATAAAGATCGCAGCAATTGGTATACATGTATCTCATTTTTTTGCAATGGTTGTAAAGTTATTTGCAATTTAACTTTTTACTTACAACACTTAAGAAAATTACGTAAATAAATTTACATTAATTTTATACGTAAAATCACATTTCAATTACATTACAAATGTATAATAGAGAGGCAATAAAACATAGTAACATTATTGATGAAATTTGGAATTTGTTCACGTATAAAACTATTTTTAGCTTTTTTTTTGTATTCGCCGCGTTCAATAATAGCATCTTGATAACATCTTTTATTTCTATTTGCATCGGTATTCGCAAAAAAATGTTTGAAAGCGCGATAAAAGAAAACGAGTTGTAAAGAGAGAGAAAGAGAGAACGAGAAAATGATGAAGTAGATGTGAGCCGTATTTTTTCATGTGACTTGCATTTTGTATCACTCGTATAAATCAATCTGTTTTTGTCGCCGAGTAAAGATTCATCCGTCACCTTTCAGTAAGTAATCACATTAGCGCACTTAACGATACCATTATACTTGTTACCAGCAACCCGACGGATTCTTAAATCTCACCGCGTATTCGCAAGCTCTTTTTTCGCAAGAAGAAGATGTGCATTAAATAAGAGCGCAAAGAAATTAGAAATTTATGGGATCCGTGGTATCGTTCATCGATTATAATCATTATATAATTGTCTCGGGTAAACATACAACATTATTCCGCGAAATATTTTCCGATTGTCGACTTAACCCAAATTTCAATTGATTGCAAGGCGAGGTGATGCGAAATGCTCAACTCCTTGCTCCTGTTTATTTTTTTATTTTTTTTATTCCTCTTTGTCGTTCTCTGCTCTCGGACATCCTTATGAATCATCGTCGTTTTTGCGTTATTTTCGAGATCAACCGAGTACGCGCTTCCTGCGTGCGCGAGCGCGAGATGCGAAACCGGTTCGCGTTATACTCGATATCTTCCTCGCTTCCTCGTCTAATTTCCTAGCTAGCGAAATCGGATTCGCTCGTCCGTCTCTCGCGTCTCTTGCATGCGCGAAATTA